GGCTGGTTTGATCTCCAGGCGAGTAGTGCCAGTACCAGTTTTACTGTCGAAATGAAATATGAACGAGAAGTGGAGGGATTGGCTCTCTCTCTCATAGGCGGGATCGGACGCTCGACCTTCTGCACAGAGCAGTGCCATATCCGCCAGCATGTTCTCGGGAAATGCGTGAAGCATAAATGTTGTACAAAGAACACGTCCAGGAAAAAGAGACTGATTGCCGTGTTTCAACAGCTGCCTGCTGAGAAGAGAGAATACAACGCTGAGACCACGCGAACAGATCACTTCCTTAATAAACCATCTTTTCTGCATGGTTGGCTGTGCTGCTGAGAGAACGATAAGCGATGAGCAACGCAAGCAAGCCGGTACAATCTCCTACAACACACGGATCCGACAGAAACGTTCGTCTAGCCTGCACTGCTACGGGCAGCAACAGCTACAGATTGGGCCCCGGAGAAGCAGTACCGTGGATACGGCACACACAGGGCTCAGCCAGCTGCTGCAGAAACGGCCACAATTCGAGCAGTCCGAAGAAGCGCCAGTTTCACCGTCGAGATCCTGCCGTATCAGACAAGTCCGACCACCGTCTCCATCGGTCAGACGGCGCGATCACCATTCAGGCTGGTCAGATGGTGACGGCCACCAGTCTGGCCGGTCAAGCGTACGCCGACACCCTGGCCGGCCAGGCAGACGCAGGCGGGCGCAGTCATCTCAAGCAGACACGGCCATGTCCCAAACAACCACCACAGATGCAGTCGCCAAAACAGCAGGCCAGAGGAGTGCAATCACAAATCCTGCAGTCCAGAGCGACGCAGTCTCACCAGTGCGGCAAGTCCCGGAATAATCGATCGAGCGATCCGAAGGTGAAAGCAAAAGGATAATTCCTTTGCTTACTACACACTGTTTTCTAATAAATGATCTTAACGGTGTATGGAGCATTAGTACAGCGAAGTTGACAAAAACACCAGTGAGGTGCCTGGTCTATTCTTCGGCACTCGGGAACTTCTTGAGTGATGAAGCTCACTGCGAGGAAGAAATGGGCAGGCAGAGAGCCCGTTGTGCGGCTTGTAAGTGAGTGCGCCACACATTCGTCAGTTCCTCATGATCATATTTCATTCTGTGCATTGCGTCAAAACGCCAGGTTTCGGACCTCTGTATGGGCCCATTCTGTTTCGTACAAATACGAGATTTATAATTCGGTTCAGAATTCTACAACTCGCTTAGAATACCCAATTAAAGCCTCAAAATTCGGAATGTTTAGCTTGCTCTGTTTTTGTGCGTTTTTGCATATATGCAAATACGAAAACGCCTATTGCGACGACTCCCGTGTGTGTATGTGTCTGCGTGTCTGTCCGGATATTTCAACTCGGCACCCAAGCAAGCTCCGGCGCCAAAATTTTGCGAGTGGGTCCCCCACCAAGTGCCACCCTAAGATTGCAGTACCAATCTTCACGCACGTCTAGGCCCCGCGTATGGGCGCACGAAAGTTTTGGCGGGAAAATCGCTAACTCGGGAACCAGAAAATCTAGAAAGCTGAAATTTTGAGGTTATGTTCTCCTTTCATATAGAACTCAAAGATTTCAAATTCAGCCCCGAAATGTGCGCGGTTCCCGCGTACGGCCTTGTGAGGGTTCCTAGTAGGAAAATCGCTAACTAGTAATCCAGGAAGGCCGGGAGGCTGAAATTTTAAGGGGTTGTTTCCAGCCCATGTACAATTTAAAATTATCAAATTCAGCCCTAGGGCATGCGTGGTTCTCAAGTACGCCCCCCTAAAAGTTTTTGGCGGAAAAATGGCGAGCTGGGGAACCACGGAAGCTGAGAGGCTGAAACTTTCAGGGAATGTTCCCAGCTTATCTACAACTTAACTTTATCAAACTCAGCCCCCGGGCTTGAGTGGTTGCTACATACCCCCCCTCCCCCCGTGAAAGTTTTTGGCGAGAATATGGGTAACTCGGGAACTGGGAACGCTGGGAGGCTAAAATTTTTAAGGAATTGTTCCCTGTCCAAGTACAACGTAGACAATTAACTCCCCAAAATTCGAGGACAGGTAAATCACACATTTCTAGCTACTGGGTTTCCGAGCGACCTCATTAAACACTGCAAAAACGCATGATCGCATGGGCCTGCCCGATGCGTGTCGCCAATGATTATGCGTTTTTGCTGTTCAGCGCTAAATGTGTGTGTGTTTGTGTGTGTGTCCGGAAGCGCGTGAAGTTTGTCACCCACTTTCATCTAAGAAACCAGGAAAGCTGGGAGGCTGAAATTTTCGGGTATTTGTTCCTATCCCGTGTGTCAACGTTTTAAGATCTACCCCCACACGCGCTTAGACCCTGCTTACGGACCCCGAAAAAAATATGCAGATTTCACTGGCGGGAAACGATTTCGCGAAACAGAAAAAGCTAAAACATTGCAGGGATATTCGCTCTGCATGTGGGAGCTACAGATTTCAAATTCAGCTGTCGCGCACGCTTGTACGGCGCGTACCGTTACGTCAAAGTTTTCAATTTGGGGAAATCGTATACCTAAAATGAGTATCGATTTTCACTTGCTTTACGACTTAGGGCACTTCAAACATATTTGTAACGAAGTGGTTCGCTTACCGAATAAAGTGCGAGGCTGAAGCTTCGCTTTGATATTCTACTTTCAACTGCTGTCTTAATTCTGCTTTCCACTTTTTAGTGTACTGGAAATTTGCATTTTTTTCAGAAAGTATCTACCGAAAAAAACGACCGAGCTTCATGCAAAAACTGTCAATCATGTAACTGGTTCATGCGGCTCTATAGTGCAACACCTTCATCCCAACCGGCGTCCTTTCTCCTGCATGCCGGAAGAGGCCAAAGTACGGCCAATGTGAGCTCAAGTAGGGATCATTCCTGCTATTAGCGACCTGCGAGTTTAATGCAAAAATGCATGATCGCACCGGCAAGCCTGGTGCGTCCCAGCCTGGGTTGATTTTTAAGCCTGAAGGCAATACATGGACTTAGGACTTGGCTCCAGTTCTTTCCTCCGAAAACACTTGATAGATTAACCTCCCAATCCAGTATTACCGAGTTCTCATAAACCGGATTTTGACTTCGAATTCATTGAGCACGATGTAGAGCGGCTTGAGAGACTTTGTCCCCACTTTCAATTCAGCAACCAGGAAAGTTGGGAGACTGAAATTGAATGAATGTATTCCCACTGCATGTGCACTCTTCCGTTTTAAAATCAACGTTCATGCGCGCCCAGGTCTCACGTATAAGCCCTTGAAAAAAATGCATAAGGTTCTTGGCAGGAATAGGTAAACGTAGGTAGCTGGAAATTTGCTTATTTATTTCCTGTGTATGTGTGAGCTAAAAATTTAAAATTCAGCTAGTGCGCACGAGTAAGACAAAGTTGCTGTTTACGGATTGGGAAAGTGAGGATATGAACAGCAGTACCCCTACGAGTAGCAGTGTGGTGAAGGGTTTTGCTGCAGAGTTGGCTGCTGAAATGAAAATGTGGAGTCAGTAGTGGAGAGCATTTATATTCCACTGAGAATGAAACTGAAATGCCTTAAATCGAGGTTGAATAGGATCAAAAGATGGCAATTTTAAAAAATAAACGATTGGGAAATGTTGGCGAATGCTGCTCAGTCTGCGAGAGCGCAAAATCTGGGGTGGATTGGCAGGGCGGGGCCACAGCTTCGAATTTATTCGACAGAGAGAGAAAGAAATGGGAGCAAAAAGCAAAAAGCGAAATGGAAACGAATACTTAGAAGCGAGAAGACCCCTAGTCTGACCACGCAGCTGGAACAATCCTAAACCCTCTCTGATGTCCCGGAGGCGGACTGCCACTGGCCAGTATGACTGATGCACCGGTGCTGCAACAGTACATTTATTTTAGAAATCGTACAATTAATTAATACAACGACGCCTTCGAATCATTTTCGTGTTCTGCTTGCTTCTGCTGCTGATGTTGGTCCGTCTGCGGCGCCGAATGCTCCTTCGTTTCCGGTGGCTGCTTGTTGATTTTCGGCGCCCGTGTATTAAGGTAACGAGGTGGCGCCCGAGCCCGTCTGGTTGGCCAAAGTGATGACCACACGAGGTAGCCTGACTTGCGACATAGCACATGTCTGATGCGCCGGGTCCGGGATCTCGAGCGCCTCACATGTTGCAGTGGTTTCCACGTCTTGAATTTTTCTTCCATCGTCTGCCGTTGTCGTTCGGGTCCTACTCTGTCCACTGTGCAGCTTCTGAAGTTTTCCGGTTTATAATAAAAGACACCTTCGTCTGTGCATCCACACGGTACGCTTTGGCATCGTCTGTAAACACGGAGTTCCTCGGCTGGGCTTCTGTTGGTCATTTTCGATGGAAGTTCCATATAACCAACCGCACAGAAGAAATGAAATAGAAAGTGTGACAAGTTCACAGGATTCTCAAGCTGTTATAATTAATGTCTCATACCTCTAATTTGAATAATCTCTGCGAAGCGTTTGCATTTTGTATGTATATTCTGAGAAAAATGCATAAACTTAATGTATCAGTTTTTATGCGTTTTTGCATATTATTCAAAAGCAACAAATATATTGGCAAGAGGTTGTTTTTGTGTGTTTGAGAGTATATGTATCTATGTGTCCGTACTTTTTGTCACCTATTTTCAACCCGAGATCTTTTGCGAAAGAAAAATTCTAGCAGAATCAAATTGCGATTCAGAGGATTCAGAGAGAAAAATTCGGTGGTTCACTGGTTGCAACAGTTCCTCTTCTGTTTTATTCGTTAGTGTTCTTAGCAATCTTAATGTAGTGTAGATGCTTTGGATTATTTCAGTCGCTTCTTTCTCGTTCTCTTCGTCAGCTGACAAATATTTCAGCTTTACCTGGAAGATTGAAACTGAAATATCCGTATATCAAATATTTATTCGTGTCTCAGGTATAAGCAAGAGTACATATATTCAATGTGTAAAATTAAAAAGACAGTGTGAACGTGCAGCGGCAAAAATATCGACGTTCAACAGCAAAGCTCCCCATCCTTTCTCAAGTCCTGCGTACCGACCTTGGCGTGCAGTCGTTGCCACCTTCTCCGAATCTGTTCTTGACAACTGAAAATCCTTAGCCGATCCGTTTCCGTCAACAGGTTTATGCATATTTGACAAAAACACCATATGTACAGATTTAAGACAAAGTAATGATTATTAATCACTGAGATCCCAAATATGTACATAAATCACTAAAATCTAAAACTATTCAATAAGCATCACTTAACACGACAAGAGCCAGGAAAGTTAAAGCTGAAACTTTGGAGGCACCCTGTGTTTAACCTTCTTGTTTCAGTATTGTCATTTGCATACGCTTGGGTCTCACGTACAGGCGTCTAAAAAAAAACATGTAAATTTTTTTGTCGGGAAAACGATCTCGACGACCAGACAAGATAGAAAACTGAAACTTTGCAAGGATATTCTCTGTGCATGTATTGAGCTAAAAGTTTCAAATTTAGCTGTCGCACATACACTGCGCGTGCAATCGCATCAAAGTTCGCAGTTGATGCTGTGCCGACTCGAAAACTAGCCAGTAAATAGTAGCTGTAATTTTACCAAAATATCCATCTGGGAAATCATACTGAAACGGAGTTTCGAATTGCACTTGCGTCGTGCCATCGGGAGCAACAAAGATATTTGCGGTGAAGTGGAAATTCTGGGCACCGGACAAGTCACGAAGCTGAAATTTTATAGTGATATTCTATATTTATCTGTGACCTAAGTCAGCCTGAAGGCTAAATTTTCTGCACATGAGCGTGACAAATACGCAGTTTTTATGCGTTTTTTGCAGCAATGCAATGCGAAAAACGCATATTGACGAGAGGTTGTCTG